TTTTCTACTTTTTATCAAATTAGGATTCTTATTTTCCCAAATTCAAATATTAATTAATTTGTGTTACTTTGAATTCGAATCAAACTCTAACACACTAAGGGCAGGAGACACAAGGCATGAAGGAATGCACTAAAAGTCTTCATCTTCAACAATATAAATGCAGTTATTAAGGCGAAAATTGCTTGCCCAACTAATCGAATCATAATATCGTCATATTTTTGCGTCATATATTTTAGATAGCTTGACCAAGTAACAATCAATCTAACGCAGCTAAAATAACGACAATATACTAATTCCTCTATAAACATAGAAGAAGACATGAACAAATGGGAAGAAATTGGAATGTACAAAAATATTAGCATCCAATGTCTATGACACTTATAAGAAAACCTCATCCCAGACAAGCAGTAGGACTTTCTTATAGAAAAGAGCCTATTTCGATACATTTTGTTTATTTGAAACCTCAATTTGTAATATCTAATGAAAAAATATATAAATCATAACTTTCCTACAATCATCTTACTCACTAAAGCCCTTTATAAAGCAACAATGATTCTTATATTCGCTGCTCTCAATCTACATACACCAATGTGCGATAAAAAAAATGGCATCACCATAAACTTCATACGTCCAGCCTTGTAATGAAAATCATTACGCTCACAACATGCAAAGTAATATGGTCACCACTTATTCAACTTAAAAAGGAAGTCACCGCGGCCTTGCGTCGTTTTCACAATCATCTTGGGTCACACGTTAGGAGTCTCCATAGGTTTGGTAGAAAATGAACACTGTGAGGAAACGCGGTGTTGCTCAGTGGGTCGTATTTAAAAACTACAAACCATATTTCAAGAACAAGTATATGAAGCTAAATTTATAGCACTCCTCTTGGAAGAGAGAAAAAAAATCCATGTTTAATGAACTCACCTAAAGTATCATCGAAGTATAATGGTCTGTTTTGGAATGCTCATTCGGTGTACTTGGAGTCGAAGTGTCAATTTCTAATCCATCAACATTGATGATGTTGGGTCCTTCAGTTTGGTTAGGGGATGATAAGGACCCTAGTCCCAGTTAGTGTGGTTAAACCCAGAGCCGTGGTCCTTGTTAGCCATGCTCATTCCCCACAAGCTTTCTACCATTATCGTCAGCACTAGTCTTGTAGAACCTGTAAACCCCATACTTTGAAACTGATGAAAAAAATTTAAACTTGAATGCTTTCTGGAATTGAATCGATGAGTGGACATTTTTATATAAAGATGGAAATCATGGTACTGTTAATTTGCCAAATTAGTTGACCCATTACATGTTTTACCAGTCATTCGAAAAAGACTTACATGGCCGTAAACAGATAGCAACAATCTGCTGACTTACATGGCAGCAAGCAAATGGCAGCAAGCATGGATTGATAACGTAAAGGAAAAAACAAACTTAATTTTTTAATCGGTAATCAAAGTCGGTTAGACCGAAAACAAAGGAGACTATTCGTATAATTTATCATTTTTCTCATCTTTGTTGGCCGACAATGACATTAACATTAGTGCTAGTCACCAACCATCGTATTTATTATTTTCTTCTCTATCTTTTATGGAGTGTCATATCTTTTTTATTTTTTCTTATTTTAAATTTTTAATAACTTTATCTTTATGACATGTTTTCCTTTATCTTTATGGTAAGTTTTCTCTATTTTTTTAGCATGATTTCAATCTTCTTTATTAGTTGGTTCGGCCGTTATCTTTGTTTTATTTCTCATGGTTAGATTTGACATTGTCTCGATTAATCAAGATGATACTCATTTGTTATCAGGCTAATATTCTCTGTTTTGGATTATCAAATTAACATTGGATACGTGGTTTGCATTCGGAGATAGTTTTCTCACTATGCTCAATTCTAATTTGTAATTATCGGTGATCTTTCAGTAGTTTGATATTCGTGGTGGCTCGTTTGCTATGCAATCAGATATGCTCATATCTATATTTTATTCGAGTTTTTTTGTATATTATTTTAACATTTTCATTGTATGATCCATGTATAATCATAAGTGACTAATTCCTTATGTCAATGTTTATAGAAAATATTCTAATTATGTATTTAGTTTACGTTACATTGTATACTTTCATTATAATTTTAAATAGGGTTAACTATATGATTGATCACTTATGTTTGTGTTTTGTCTACTTTTTCTCATTGATTTCAACTTTTATTTTTATTTAATTAATATATGCTCACTTTCATTTTTATGTTGTTAACAGTTAACATATTAACTGACGTGGTATTTTGGTATAATCACACATTTGGTCAGTGTTATTTACACATTCTCTCAATTTAATCTTACTTTTAATACATTAAAATAAATTTAATCCTTCAATCGAATGACACCACATGTCACCATTTGGTTGGAGGACTAATTTTATTTTAATTTAATATATTTAATTTATTAAAATAAAGTTAACCCTATATTAAAATAAAATTTATTAAAATAGAGTTAGTCCTTCAACTGAATAGTGCACGTGACACGACATATGGTACCAATGACACGTGTCATAATTCGATTGGAGGATTAAATTTATTTTAATTTATTAAATGTATGATTAAATTGAGAGAATATATAAATAATAAGGACTAAATGTATTAGTATACTAAAATATTTAATAGCAGTTAACTTTTGGTGACCATATCTTAGTTTAATAAACACGAAATCAACTATATATTTTGGTTTTCTGAAATCAACAGAGAAAAATGAACCAAAGATAAATATAAGTGATCAATCATGTAGTTAACCCTTTTATATATTTTCTCAATTTCAATAAAAACAACTTATATTTGTATGAAAAATTATATTATATATTCATAAAATAGTTTCTTAACTATACTAATTTTTATACTGAACATTACAAAAAGAAGTTAAAACTTTTATCGCTTAATAACAGCTTGGGTCCCTCAATTCCTATCCTCTTCCTCAACTACTAATCATATTATACATGTTTCGTTTACTTTATACAACTACAAGGGATTATAATATTGCAATTCTTTGATGGACTGGCTGATTAGCTGGGAGAGAACCTTAAGATACAAAGATTAGGTAGCGATATTTTATTTTAAGCTTAATTACATGTTTGGCCTCTGAACTTATATCTTTCTCCCATGTTGGTCCATGAATTTTTCCCACATTAATCTTCGAACTTATGTATTGCCAGTCCAGCTCAGTTGGTAGAGCGCAAGGCTCTTAACCTTATGGTCGTGGGATCGAGTCCCACGGTAGGCAATTCATAATTCTGACTGCCAGAGGTCTTCCACGGAAGCTGCTCTCAACCTGGCGTTAGGGGCAGCCTACTACCTTACCTCCCCCTCACCCCATTACATATGGGAATAGGGTCAGCTAAAAAAAAATATTCGAACTTATATTTAATTATATCTTTAGGCCTGTTTTAAAATGGTATCAAGAGAATGATAATGAGTAGGGGTGTTCATAATTCGGTTACAACCGAATTACGTGGTTGAATCAAACTATTTTCGATTAATCGGTTGGTTAATATTAGGTTCGATCGTTAACGGTTAATGAATTTTTTAAATTTTGGTTATCGGTTAATTCAATTTAAAAACGGCTAATTAACTGAAAGTATTAAATATTTAATATATTATATATATATATATATATTATTTAGTTTTAGGGGCGTTTAAACTTTAATTTTAACCGAATTAACTGACCGAATAAATCAAAAATATTAAACATATAATATATAATATATAGGGGGTATGATCCAATTACATTGTGTAAAATTCTTTTAGTTTTACATCTTTGTAGTACCATTGATGAGAGAAATTAAAGGCTGTAATTAACAATAGAAAATAAAAAGGTATTCACTGGGAAGAAACAATGAGTTAATCTCAGCCTTTGATTTACTTCAATCCAAAGGTTCTAAAAGATATAAAACTAAAAGAGTTTTACACAGTATAAATAGATCCTAACCTATGATTTATATATTATTTATAAATTTTGATTAATTCGGTTAACAGACGAAATTAATCGAACTTAGTTCAATTTAATTAAAATATTTTTAAAAATATTTAATTCGATTAACAATTAAAATTTTTAATTAATTCGATTAATAATTATTTAATTCAATTGATGACTGAATTAACTGGATGAACACACCTAATAGTGTGACACTCTAATATCATATTATATCATCACTAAATTTTGATGCTCAAGTGTTTGAGGCGATGAGGATAAATAATTAAAAAATATAATTTAATTTAATTCGAATAATCATGATTTTCTTGTAAACAATAAATCATCCGAGCATTATATTTTAGTTTATTTTTTTAATTTCTCGACTTTTTAACTCAATTCTATTTGATAAAATTTAAACGAAAATAAAATCCTATAAATTATATTTACACTCAATAAAATTATATCTGAAAATATAAAGAATTTTCACATTTTCTTATTTAACCATTGAATTTAATTTATTGATGGACTGTTTATGATCAGATTTTTTTATAAAAATTTATTGTATGGACAACCTTTTTAACCTAATTATTCTAAAAATCTAATTATTTATTATTAATTCAGGGTGATTACAGGTGGTAGTATCCGTTCTAGAGACTCTCAACCATTTGACAATGAACGCTCAAATACCTTACGATTGTTGGTACTTGAACCTTAGACTTCTAAATATAACAACCATTCCTTTAACTATATAGATAACTTGGTTCGTGCTAAACCATCTAATTATCGATAAAACTTTCAACAATTTAACCGTATACAGAACACGACAATTTGCAAAAAGAATTTTATGTATGCATTCAATTTATGTGCCAGTGAGATCGAAGTTTAACATAATCTAGAAGCATACAACATCGACTATTAATCGTACAAAAAGTTTACTTTCTACTTATTTCACAACGTATGAAAGTGGAACATGTGCTGTGATGAAGAAAAGTACATGAAAAAAAAGGCAACTATTATCCTATTTTCAACATTGCCAAAATTAACAATTGAGTCAAGTTAAAATCGATTCTATTCAATTAAGTCCCTTAAAGCCGACGGAAAATGTTGATAGGCGGCAGCTCACAACAGCATACACGTTAAAAAGAAATAAAAATTTCGTTTTCCTTTTGTTGTTTTCCCGTTTCGTAGTAACTTGTGCCACACGGTAACGGCACGGCGTTCAAACTAACGAGAACTCCGCCGGTCTTTTAACTTCCTAATTCGGCCACGTGTCAGCAGATCCCAACTTGTGGTCCCATATTCCGTTGCTGTCTGAACACAAACGAGCACTCGGGCAACTCGCCCAGATCGGCGAATAGCGACTCGTCCTCTTCCCTCATCGGCAAAACCATCGCCACGTCACCCTTCCCGGTGTCTCTTTCCGCGAACATCGGGCTCTCAAAAACCCTCAACGACGTCGTTTCCATCCCCCCGAACCAAGCGAATTCATACCCCGTCAGATCAGCGAACCTCTCTTCGCTCCCTGATTCCGTTCCCGTATCGGGCTGCAAAGTAGACGGCTCGTGCTTCACAACTTTCGTGGCCGTGGTTGGCGTCTCCTCTTCCTCTTCCCCCGCAGCCGCAGCTTGTTTCGCGACGGCACTGTTGTTTCTAGAAGTTGGCCATGGGTGATTGTGTTCGTAGGAATACGTGATCACTAACATCGTAGGATCCGCTCGGTTCCTCTCGACTTGTTTTCTTGCAGGACATCCCTTGGAGCTGCTGCACCGGTAGTAACCTCTGCTCGCCGGCCGCCGCGAGATCAAAACAGAAGCCTTAATCAACGGCTCAACATCATAAAAATCCCAAACTTAAAACTTACGCCTCGACGCAGACAAACCTGGGATAAGGAGAGCCTTTGATAGGTTTTTGGCCGTACTTTCGCCAAGCCCAAGAATCAGACGGTGGAGCACGCTTCCCCTTTAGTCGCGAACCATCAACATCCTTGATAGGCACTGACACCACTCTTTTCTGTATGGATTTTCTACTGTGACAAAACCCCATTACGTAAAAAAAAAAACATATGCAAACAACGAACTTAATAGAAATTTCAGTTAAAAATACCCTTTTTTAGGAGAAGCCAGTTTCATGTCGTTGAAAGTGGTAGAAGAAGGAGATTCAGCTCCGGCCTCCAATGAAACGTTGTCGTTTCTATCTTCTTGTTGATCAGAGAAAAAAGAGTTGCCGGCTTTGTTGAAACTACTACCAGCGGCGACCATGATTGGTGATCGGAAGAGAAACTGATGAAGCAGACGATGTTTGGTCGAAGAAGAAGAAGAAGAAGAAGAAGAAACAGAGAGGCTGTCCTCTAAAAAATAGGAGGGGAGGAGCGGCTCGTTTATAGATTGGGTTTTGAGTATTTTTTTCCCCTTTCTTACAAAGGACGTGCAGGCAAATGTGATATAATAAATTCTAAATTTTATTGAAAATGCAGCTTCAAATTACATGACCATCCATCTTTTTAATTATTTTTATTTTAACTTATTTGATCTTCTTTAATTATATGCATTAAAGCGATATATATTTGTATTTTATAATCGGAAGTTAAGAGGTTATCATATACAATATTTATTAAAATATTTATAAGATGTGAAAATCTCATTGACAAGGATGGAATGATTTGCCTTCCTTTTTATTGTTATATTCTTTTTTTCTCATGAGGAGAAAAAAAGGATAAAATATGTTAATCAATTGGTTAAGATTTTAAATAAGGAGGTGGTAATGAATTTTAACCATTTGGTTCATAATTTTTTATATTTCTTATTTTCATTCTTCATATCAAATAAAGATTAAAAGAAAAAAATAATTAGTGTTTGTTGTCTAATCCATTTTTAGATTTGAAAATATTTTTGTTTAAATTATTTTTTGTGTTTTGAAATATGAAATTATCATCAATCGTTTTAGGTGAAGAATTATCGAATACGCATAAAATTATCATTTACAAAAGATTTCTAAATATCTATTTAAAAAAACGATTTTGGAGAGACAAATTTAGAGATTTGTATTTAAATCTAAAATCTAAATTAGATTCGGGAGTCTATTAGTCTCAAGACGCCCAAAAAATGACACTACATCTATCCCACTAAACATATTCCTTATCGGTTTTTCAAAAGTCAAAATTTTTAAACTTTGACTATGATTATTTTAAATATTCAAAAAATTAAATTTTATTAAATATATATTTCAAAACTATTTGATTAAATGTTTTTAAAATATTTTTTATATTTTTATCAATAATAAATTTTAAATAATGAGTCAAAGTTTTTAAAAATTGACCAAAAAAAGCAAATAAAAGATAATTTAAATGAGAACGAAGAAGTATCTTATTTAAATATTCACATTATCTAAGATCTTAATAAATAAGAGATTATTTTTTTCTATAATTTATAGTGTAATTTTGTTATATTGAGTTACTCTTAGTTTAATTGACATTGTTATTGTGGATCATTCAGAGTTCGTTGTTTGATTAGTATGATGATGAGGTTAGGATGTGAATTTTTATGCTTGATCCATGTGTTACATCTTTGATTCATTTTCTTCTTTAAGTGCAGTGGTTCTTTCTACCTTCTTGTTGGTAGTAATTTTATATAATTATTTGTAGGTAGATTTTATTTATTTATTCTTTGTACTTACAATTATATTTGTTCTTCCTAACAAATGTTTCTTTCTAAATATTATAGTTTGATCTGAATTCAATCTAATTCAAATTGATTGGGAGAAGTATGAAATCTAGTCTAATTGAAGAAAAGAAAATTACTTTTCTTTGTTGATTACTAGTAGAAAACCTACTTTGAGTATTTATTTATTTTATAACCAAGTAACTATCTTTATAAAAATAGATAATAGGGATTATGATTAGAAGCTAAGTATATTTTGTAAATTCTCTTGTATTCTTCAATTTTTTATATTACTAAAAATTTTCTTTTTCTAAACGTGGTTTCTCCAGAAATGACTTTTCATGAAAAATCTTGATGTCTATTTTATTGTTATCATTATGGTTGTTATCTTTAAACAAACTAGTATCAGAGCGTCCAAATTATTTATCTTGATCAAAATAATAACATATTTGAAATATAAATTCTTTTGTTGGATCACACCTCTAGATTTAAGTTGTGGTAGATTTGAGAAGTCTAATTTTGTTTAGTCATTTGGGTTCAAAACGGTACAAATGTTATAGTAAAGGTGGAGCTATGAAAATTAGTAAGATCCTCTCGTTGTGATAAAAATATAGAAAAAAGATTGTCAAGTTTTATGTTCTACGTGTTTCAACAATTTTAGACAAATGCATTTGTTATTTCCTTATTTGCGTCATATTACAATGTTATTGGTGAAAATGTCTTAACTGAATCAAGCAAATAAAAATTTTGTGTTGAACAAAACAATTGCGTGTATAATAATTTTGGGAAGTAGGACATAATTCAATTTCGTGAGCATAAAAAATTGAAAATAAAAAGAGAGTCCAATTGATCGCATGACTTAGGTGGTGTTTGTTTTCACTGTGCAAGCTCTTCAAACTACTTATGTCTGCGTCGCGCAGACCACGCGCAGACATTAGGCTTCGCAGACTGTTTGTTTTTTAGAAGACAGAAGCTCTTCAAACGTATGCGCGAGCTCTTCTTGGTTCAGACATGGTTTTATGTCTTCAAAGATCTTCAAACCTCTTCAAGAACAATTATAAAATATAGTTATTTATTAAAATAATTTTAAATAATTTAATAAGGTTATTTATTTTAAAATATTTTATTATAAAATATTTTATTATAAAATAATTTATCATAAAATAATTTATTTTAAAATAATTTATTATAAAATAATTTATTTTAAAATAAATTATTATAAAATATGGATTGATTTATTTTAAAATAAATTATTTTAAATAATTTATTAGTATGGATTGATTTATTTTAAAATATGGATTGATTTATTTTAAATAATTTATTAGTATGGATTGATTTATTTTAAAATATGGATTGATTTATTATTGTAGTTGTATAGATTGATTTATTTTAAATAATTTATTAGTATGGATTGAATTATTTTAAAATATGGTTTGATTTATTTTAAATAATTTATTAGTATGGATTGATTTATTTTAAAATATGGATTGATTTATTATTGTAGTTGTATGAATTGATTTATTTTAAATAATTTATTAGTATGAATTGATTTATTTTAAAATATGGATTGATTTATTTTAAATAATTTATTAGTATGAATTGATTTATTTTAAAATATGGATTGATTTATTTTAAATAATTTGTTAGTATTGATTTATTTATTTTAAAATATGGATTGATTTATTATTGTAGTTGTATGGATTGATTTATTTTAAATAATTTATTAGTATGAATTATTTTAAAATATGGATTGATTTATTTTAAATAATTTATTATTGTAGTTGTATGGATTATTTAAATTTCAGTATTGTAAAACTAATGTTATTTAAATCTCAGTATTGCAAAACTCTTTTAAGTTTAAAAAATCAGTTTATTTATATTTCAGTTCATTTTAGCAGTTTGCAGACGTCTTCTTGCAGACTGCAGACTTTTGGTCCACATCTTCTGCTGCAGATGCCTGCAGACGTGGTCCGCAGACTGCAGACCTTTTACCTCTGCAAAAACAAACACCACCTTAATATAAAAAAGATAGTCATTGATGATTAGGATCATGTTGTGCATGATATTGTTCATATGATACAATTGTGAGCAAAGTTGACACTTATGATGACCAAATCGATGTGAACACTAAATTTAAGTTCGGGCATAGTTTGGATTCCATTGGCAATCATTATTGAAGAATGTCTCTTTAAGGGGTTTCGTGGAAGAAGTGAATAATATGTTCTCAAGGTGAAGAACTTATTTATCGAGTTGAAGAATTAACTTTTTGTTGAGTTTTGGAGTTTCATCGAATTTATGATTTTATATCAAACTCCTTGTATTTTTAGAATTTGTGTCAATATAGAGATTATTAGAAGCTAATTTGAGTAGAAACTTATTTTCTTTTATGTTGATTAATAATAGAAAACCTACTTTGAGTAGATTTTCTCTAAACAATTTTACTTTGTAACCAAGTAATTATCTCTATAAATAGATACCGAAGACTTTGATTAGAAGCTAAGTCAATTTTTAGAAATCCTCTTGCATTTCATCTATTTTCGACATAAGTAAAAATTCTCTTCTTCCGCCCGTGATTTTTCTTGAAAAAGTTTTCACGTAAAATATTGATGTCTAATTTATTGTACGATCACTATGATTGATGCTATCTTTTAATACTAAAGATATAGAGTTAATTTCATAAGATGTCACCAAATTATTATTAGTATTTTAAATTAATCTCAAAATTTTAAAATATTCTATATAGTCCTCGAATCATGTCCCTCATTCTAATTGTTCCTTAAAATTTAAAACATTTCATATAAGTCATCAAACTAACAATACCATTTCATTTTGGTCCTTTCGTTAACATATCGTTAACTCTTCTGGCTAAAAAAAATAATTTGTTTTTTTAAGTCTTGAGAATTAAACTAGTGACCTGAAAAAAATTAATTTATTTTTGAAGGTTCTGAATTTTTAAAAAGGCTCGGGTTCAGTTCTTGAGACCTCCAAAAACAAATTAATTGTTTAACCGTTAGAGTTAATGACTCATTAAACAAAGATCAAAATGGAATGCTACTGATAGTATGAGGATTGATATAATTTCATTAAAGTTTAGGAACCAATTTAAATGGGACTCATAATTTTGGGATCGATATAAAATATTTTAAAATTGACGGACCGATTAAAATGAAAGTCATAGTTTAGATAGCTCTTGTGCAATTATGTTAAAAATATGATAGGGCAAACAAATAGAACAATTAAATGTCCACTTTATAATGGAGGGTCAAGCTATGATTATAAAGATAGTATTAGTCAATGAAAAAAAAAAGAACTCATTAATGGTGATTTCATCAACTATGGCTTTTCTGCAATATTCTTGACATTCTAGTCCTAAACCAACTCTCACCCTTGTATTCTTCTCATTCTCTTTGATTTTGATTTTCTCCTTAATTATTAAGAATAATTAGAAGATAAGATTGATTAAGCTCCTCATTAAAACCGCTGCTGATTAAGTTATTTAATTAAGCAAAACGAATAATCCTACTGCTTGATAATTATATAAATATTCTGGAGGATAATGTATTCATAGTCATGAAAATGAACTAATTCTTTATGTGACATAAATCCATTTAATCTGGCTGTATTATATTATATAAATTATGTGCCTCCACCCTACATTTTTAATTAACTACAAATATAATTAAATGAATAATTGTGATGATTAAGTCAGATTAAATAAATAATTTCTATCACTGTGATACATACATATACATACATACATACATACATATATATATAAATATATATATATATTAGAAGTTATTATATGAATTAATTGAACTAAATGAGAAATAGGTGTAAATCTTAAAAAAAAACTTAATCCTTCTAGAGTTTATTGATGCGTGAAGCAATGTATAATCTTAAACTACAAATTTATTTATTGGCATCTCTCCCATGCGACCACTCTAGACGTCAAACGAATAAAAAATTAGCAACGAATGAGATAATATATATTAATTTAATTAAGAAACATAACTTATTCGAACTAAACGATCTTAATAGTTAATTTTTTTTTTTTGTTATTTCTTGAAGTTTCACGTTTTACCACTATATATATAGAGGTACAAATATTCATTATCAAATGATTAAGAATCTTTAAATAGATACTACTTTATTCGCCCTATATTATTTATTAAAAAAAATATGACTTATTAGAATCCCTTCTAACCAGGAACTATATACATTTTTTTACACACTTAAGAAAATTCTCTCATTTTTTATTTCCAAATCTTTAAATTTTTATTTTCATGGGAAGATGTAGAAGATGATCCTATATATATAGAATTTGACGATTGAAGGAAGGACTGAGTTTCACTTGTCTGGAGGATAACCTGATCGAGCCCTGTTAATGACTTAAATCTCATGTCATCACCATAATTAAGAGCTTGATTCCAGGATAATTTAATGAACCTCAGTACGGCCTTCGAGCATGCTCACCACTCCGGACATTGTAGGCCGAAATGCTGATGATGGATTAGTGCATAACAGAGCTACTTTTATGATCCTCAAACTTTGTACCAAGTTTTGGATCCACTAGCTCCAAAAGGTTTCCTTTTTGTTGCAGAACAAGGGCCTAAAATACAACATATTAAATGGATGCAATTCGACTATTGCAGCTCAATGTGAAACACAACTACAGTCTACAGGTGCAAGGAAATTAAAGGAGATTGTTCTCACGCAATCCAGAAGGCATACAAAATTTTCATTTGGTCGGTATTTCATGTTGTTCTTCCCAGCAGCAATTTCCAATGCAACCACTCCAAAGCTGTAAACATCTGCCTGATAGGTCAAATAGCCCCATAATGCAAACTCCGGGGCCATGTATCCTCTGCATAATTAAGGTTATTTGTGAACTATAGTACTGTTCAGATGGAACTGAAAGTGGAAAAAAGAAGAGAGCTCACATAGTTCCAGCAACTCTGGTGCTGATGTGGGTGTTTTCCTCTTCATCAAGCTTGGCTAGACCAAAGTCAGAGATCTTAGGATTAAAATCCCTATCAAGTAACACATTCGCAGCTTTGATGTCTCTGTGAACAATTCTCAGAGGAGAATCCTCGTGCAGGAAGGCCAGTCCTTTTGCAATACCAACACAAATCCTCAACCTTGTTGCCCAATCCAGTCTCAGTTGGACTTCATCTGTACCTTTTGTTAACATAAATTACAAAACAAGTAATTGATTCCTTTCGTTTCGCGGTAAGGACATGTCAAACGGAAAAAAAAAAGCATTTTCAAGCTTACCGAACAAAACATGCGCAAGACTATTGTTTTCCATGTATTCATACACCAGCAATAATTGATTTCCTTCAGCACAACATCCATATAGTCTAACAACATTTGGGTGTTGTATACCTGAAATCATTCCTATTTCATTCACAAATTCACGATTTCCTTGCTTTGATCTTGAAGAGAGCTGCTTAACTGCAATTATGGTACCATCCAATAGTATTCCCTGCAATGAAACAGGAACTGAAGTTTTCATATTTGTATGTTATCAATTTAGTCCTATCTGTATTTTTTGGGGATAAACTAGAAAGGTAGGGGGAAAGTACTGAAAAATAAAGCCCTAGTGGTTTTGTATGTGACCTTGTACACAGATCCAAAACCACCTTCCCTAATTTTGTTGCTGCATCGAAGTTGTTTGTGGCCGCTTTGATTTGTCGTAAGGTGAATACTCTAGTTTTCATATCTAATCCTCTTAGTTCTGTTCAAGGTACAAGGCCAATAGTCAATACGCTGAGCTGTAAAAATTATGATACCTAAAAGAAAGATGATATAAACTACCTTCTTCCCTTGATATTGTGTCACACAACCAGCCTTTCCACCAAAGAACACCCAAGATCATGAGAACTAGGATCAAAAGCGAAACTACAGCTCCTACCACGATGAATGTCTTATTTTGTCCATCATTTGGAGGTTTAAACTCTACACAAGTTCAACAAACCTGTTAAACTCTACACAAGATCAATTTAACCTTTCACATGCTAAAGCAACCCAACACTTCAAATTCACAAAATAAGTTGTCACAATGTGAACCAAAAGCTCTAGATTATGGTCCAAGCAATATGCATAATGAAACTATTTTTAGACTTGCGTGAAGATTAAATTTCTGAAATCACTCGTCATTCATTCTTACTCAAAGATGTTGGCAGGCATCTACTTTATATGTATGCAAATATTGAAAAATATGAAGCTAAGAGAGATATGTTATGATATGAAGATGATAAAGGCCTCCATCAAGAGTGTTTAACTTACCTGATTTCACTGAGTTAGCTGATATCAGAGGGCCATATGTTCCCCTCTTCGGTGCAGCTGCTGTCCCTTTCCCGGCCCAATGAAATTGAATCTCCAAGGTCTTATCCATTACAATAACAGACTTAAATTCACGAATGTATGCCTTATATAATGTTAAAATCCTTCAACATGCGTGTCCCCTGCAACCAACTAATTCGATCAAATTATCACAGCAGCATATGGGACATGGAGAGAATGTACAATGTGATTTAATACCTGTATATAAACATCAAATATCCGTATTCCAAGACTGTGGAAAGAACGATTGTCTCTTATCACTATTTCTGCAAAGTGAAGTTTAACAGTATAGTTTCCATTTCCTAAGCAGCGAATGTAATGAGCGAAAGGGGAGAAAGGCGTGCTGTCGTGTATAACGCTGATTCATTTATCCTGAGCACAGATACATTATGTGCTATATAGTCTCTATAGCTAATATTCGTATCCCAGAAATGTCCTGTGCTGCTGACTTCCCAATTTGATCCAGTCGGAACATATTTTGCTTCACCACCTTGGTCGAGATCGGCTTCATAATCAATATTTCCTACAGTAGTTTTCTCCCCACCACAGTTTATGTATAAAGAATAATGATCTATATAGAAACATAGCATACTAGAGTTTATTAGTAAATTTGACAAAATAAATGTAAAAATTTACAGCACTTTTGATCAGCCGAGTGAATGCAGTGGGCATGAATGAAAATACAAATGAAGCATATATTAGTATATTTTGGTGGAAGAAATGCAAGTACCTTTCGAACACGGATAACTCTGCAGACATTCATTGAGTGGTCTGCATCATGGTCGAACAGTGAAAAAATCAATTTATGCAAAGTAGCCTGGATATTTCTTTTGAAATTTGGATACGTAGGAACTTACAAGTTCTTTCCATCAGTAGAGCTTTTGAACAAGTTTCTGATAGAACAACAAAATAATTACTTTCCAATATTTGAGAAGTTAAAAAGAAGGGATAGCATACTTGAAAGTTAAAGGAAGAATCGGGAAAAAATTGTTCTTACAATGTTTCCCGACAACTGGATTGCACGTAGTCCTCAGAAAAATTATTGTAAGAAAGATCTATCGCACTGAAAAAGAAAACTATATTGGCTTAATGACATTAATTGTAAATGCATGTTACATTGTTTTGAAAGGAAAAGTGCATCTATGAGATCTTGACCCTTTAGATGATGATAATGGGATTCTATATGTGCATCTATGAATTACCTGCAACTATTTAAGTTCTTGATCTAATCGGGAATCGGACCACTGAGCGAGTTGTTTGTCAGATACCTATTTAGTTAGCATCATAAATCATGTTGCAGTTTAAACTTTCTCAGCTAGAATTAAAGTTAGAAATGGAGGAAAATATACTGGGAAAAACCTTGGTGAATAATAAAAAGACTTTGATCTTACTAATGCTTACATTTTTTCCGGTTGAGAAATCGTAAAACCTCTACCAATTTCCACTAATCTGTTGAAACTGAGATCACTGCAAGAAAATTAAACAGAAAAGAGCAGTTTGTTCACTTTGTTGTATTCCATTAGTAGACATGAAAGGGCAGCATGGCAACCAATAGCTGATTATCTGTTTGATCAACGAAAATCTAAATTATTGTGAATATTAAAACTTGAAATATAAATGAACTTCATAAACATGTCCCTAAAGCTCCAAATAGATTTTAAGATCAGTGAAAATGGTATCATTTGATAAGACTTTTGACTTCTTAGTGCACCATGTTATTACTTTAGGGCTAAAGCATATGCAGCTCTAATTGAAACACTAAGATAAAATTGTTAGAATTGAATATAACATAAGAAAGTATTACTATTAATAATTGTAAGTAGTGTTTAAGTTAAACTTTGAATCCTAACTTATCTCTAAAACTATCTCCTAATTTGTAGAAAAGATGACTCCTATCTTATCTAGGTCTCTAATTCACGTATATAAAAATCTCATATATCCTCTTGTGTATGCAATTGTTCTTTGAATAAAAATAATTTCAGAATAAAAACCATGTTTACCAGAACCGGAAAACTATGTTTACCAGAGCCGAAAAACTCTGTTTCTTCATGGTATCAGTCGCCAGTGTCGATCCCAGCCTTGCTTCTGCCGTCGTTCATCATCCTTTCGATCAGCAGTGTGCCTTATGTGCACATCTTCCTTCCAATTGTGAAATTCTTTGCAACACCATCCTCTTCGCAGCACCACCCCTTCGCAGCGTCGTTTTCTTTGTTGTGCAACCACAACAGTGCCGCTTCTGTCGCAGTGTTGGTCTCCTCTTCGTACTGCTCTTGTCGCGTTGCCGGTCCAGCGCTGCCCTCATCACAGAGACAACCCTTCCTATTCCGTTGTTTGGTACCTGTTCTGCTGCTTTTTGGTACCTGTTCTACCGCTATTGGTAACTGTCCGGCCAAAACTGTCTCCTCGTTGCATAGCTCATTTGATACTCATCCTAGTGTCAATCTTCTCAAATATCTGATTGTCACTTATAGCAGTGTTCCCTGCTAGTTCGCAACATATCCCAAGCTCTCAATTCCTCGACAGTCATGGCATATCATTCTTCGTCCAAGTCTGTATGCACTGTTAGTGAATGTAGTTCTCCTTTTACCTTATTATCCCCTTCACCAGGGTGTGTCTCTTGTATTGTTGATTCCAGATCAAGTGATTATATGACGGGCAACTTCAATTTATTTTCCACATTTCACAAAAATGGTATCTCATGTAGTGTTCATACTGCTGATGGCTCCCTATCACCGGTTAAGGGCAGTGACTCAATTCGCATTAATAGTCACATTACTCTATCTAATGTTCTATTTGTTCCAAGTTTGACTTGCAATCTTCTTTCGATTAACAAATTATCTACTGATTTGGGTTGTACTTCTCATTTTACTCGTGATTATTGTGAATTTTAGGATTTGACCTCGGGGATGGTGATTGGTAATGTTAGGCGTCATGGTGGACTCTACATCCTTGACGCTCCTCCTTATACTTTCGTTCCCAACCACTCACATGCACCATTTATCTATTCTTTTGCTTCAGTTTCTCCCACAGATGCGGCTGCCGACATTGTGTTATGGCATTTTAGGTTAGGTCACCCAAGTTTTTCTTATCTTTCAAAATTATTTTCCAAATTATTTATGAATAAAAATCCCACATCATTTTCTTGTGACATTTGTTCTCTTGCAAAACACATTCCAAGTTGTTATCCTCCTTCTCCCTCTCGTTCGCCTAAACCTTTTTCCTTAATTCATAGCTATATTTGGGGATCTTCACGGGTTACGGGTTTACATGGAATTTTTTGGTTTACTATTTTATTGACGACCACTCTCGTAGTACTTAGAGCTTTGTTATGAAGGACAAATATGAGTCTTGTACCATCTTCAAACGATTCCACAAAATGGTTGAAACACAATTCCAAAGTTCCATGGCATCCTTAAATCTGATAATAGTAGGGAATACCTCTCTCAGTCGTTGGGATCCTTCTTCCAGGAAAATGGAATAGTCCATCTCACTTCATGTGTTGACACTCCACAACTAAATGGGATCGCCAAACGTAAAAGTCGTCATCTTCTTGAGGTAACCTGAGTGATAGGGAAGCGGCGGCGGATTGTTGAACGTTGCTCTTGTTGAAGAATCAAACCTAGAAAGCTCTAGACTCGATGAAGAACAAAGGTGATGAATATGGGAAGGTGGCGGCAGTCGCTAGGATTGTTTAGGGTTTCTTTTATGTGCTAGAATCAAGACAACACGATTAGAATAAAATAAACAAAAGATAAATAAATGAAAGATGAAATAAGATAATAAAGAAATCAAAAGATCTCCCTTATGAAGGTGAACGGTAAAGATGATTGATGGTGCGGATGGATTTGTGGAAAAATAGATGGATAAGTGTCCTATCGAGCCCTCCTAGTCGCAATGAAAAGGCAAACACGATAAATGGCTCTAACCAACCCTCCTAGTCGCGATGAAAAGGCAAATTGGAGTGTGAAGATTAATATCCCTCACAAGAACTTGAAAGAACTCCAGGAGAAGAAGCTTCGAAGGCACAAGGCAATCAACACTTGCAAAAACAAACTCTCGTTGTATTATTGATCAAAGAAATCTTATTTACAAAGTATAATGAAGCCTCCTTTATATAGGGGCTGAGTTCTAAAGGTCCTAAATAACTAATGAATAAAATAATAATAAACTAAACATGTCTTAACTCTAATTCCTAATAAAATAATAATAACTAAAGATAATATTTTAACCCAACCTTAATTCCTAATAAAATAATAAATCTAATCCTAAAAGATAATGCATCATCCTATAGTAAGTTATATTACAAATAATCAATATAAATATTGAAAATTCGTAATATTTACAAAATAACGTATTAATCCCGTATAGGATTTCATGCATGCACCGTCTTCAGTAAAATGACCATATCTTGAGTTTCCGATATCGGATTGATGCGATTAAAGAACTGTTGGAAAGATAAGAGACAGAAGGTTGTATCTCCAGAAGACATGTCGACTAAATAAGATCAGGATCCCATTCAAAAAGTCGTCGCAAGTCTGCTGCTGTTCTGATCTTCTTTTCCAAAGCTTGGACGAGTGGATCATTTGGAAGAGTTATTACTTCTTCCTTTGATGTGAACCTTGTGATGCATGTATCATCCTCCCTTTCTTCAAAAAGATTCGACCTCGAATCTGAAACATTAAAGGGAGCAACATTAGAATAGTTTAATAATTCATTCACATTATGCTTACCGAATAGATATGCTTTGAATCTTCGAGACTTTGTTCTTCTAATAGGTTCGAGTAGAAACATTAGTCCAAAGAAGCATGTATTATGGAATCTGGTGCATGTATCATTCCCCCACTCCTCAAAAGGATTCGTCCTCGAATCTGAAAATCCAAAAGAAAGAGAATTAGATGTGTTGAAATAAAAACTTGTGAAACATTTACCAGGATCAATGTGATGTGTCTTTATGCGTTTTAGTCGAGGTTTCTTCTTTGTAGGAACTGATTTCTTGTAGTCTTGAAATCCTCTTTTACATACAAGTCTTGTAATCTAATGTTTTGGTTGAATTTCAACATGGCGCCGGTCACTGTTGGCTTTCTGTATGATTATTTCAGATAATTTCTCCATGGTTTCATTCGTGTATGGCGAGAATGAGTGTTTAAAAACCATGTCAACTTGTTTGTTAATGTAATCCCTTAAGTCTCCTAAGTTTGGTTCATGAATTAATGATTCACAGGAGGAGATTTGTGGACTGTATAACCTGTTTAGTTGGCAAGGAAACTCATATACAAGATAAAGCTCATTAAAAGCACTTTTAAATGCATGGGTAGAAATATCAGAAATATCCGAGTTATCGTGATATACATCTTTGATATGTTCAATTCTCGGAATAGTAGTATGAGTTTGATAGGTAAGAGTATACCTTCGTGGTAGTGTATCGTCTACTGTGTTTTGCTTACCTCGGTATGTTACACACTTAAAGGAGTTGTGTTTAGTATGGATGACAACTTCACGAGCCTTACCTTGTAAGAAGGAGAAGAAGTACGTTACAATGTCATTAAAATGAGTAATAAAATATTTACCTTTGGACTCTCGTAAATCGTGACTCTTCATTGGTATGGCATAGTGATTAGGGCTTTCAGGTGGTAACCCGTCAGGAGGGTCACCTAGCACTATTCGACAACTCTTGGCGATGGAAGATGGTGTGGGCCAGTCTCGTGTTGCTTTTACTTTCTCATCATTTACATGGATTCCCTGTGCACGAACTATAAAGCATGTGGAGTTGTTCAAGTCATGTTTCGTCATTAAGATGACGTTACGACTAAGGCTTTCATGGATGTAGCCTTTTTGTAACAAATCTAACTCTTTGGTTTCTTCGAGATTGTATGTTTGACGAGGTATGATAGAACCTTGAATTAGATTGGTTTGGTGTTGTTTTCCTTTTTCCAGTGGTAATCCGTCAGGTGGATCACCTAACACTTCTCGAAAATCCTGTAACAAAGATGAAAACACACTAGGCAAATCCTTGTTAATGTTAGAAATCGAAACAATTGATTCTCTAAAGCGAACAAGGATGAAAGGATGTTTGTAAAGAAGGTTCTCTCTCAATTCTTTTGTGCTCACACGTAGATTTTGAGTCACTCTTTTCTTCTCACAATTAGGTTCACTCACCTCCCATGGGTCATTATGCTTTTGGCTTTTGTAACTAGTGACCTCTTTTTCTTTTGCCTCTTTCTCAACTTTTTCTTTTTTTGATTTCACTACCTCCTCACAAATTTGATCTTTAGGGGCTGGAAGTGTGTCATTCTTTGCTGGTCGTTCTTTCTCATTGTCAGGTTTGTCATCTCTTGGCTTTTTCAGAGAAGATGGAGTAGAAGATGAGGAAGGATTTGAAGGATTACCTTGGTAAGAGGATGAAGTACCTTGGTAATGTTCACTGATTCGAGATCTCCTTTGGATTTGTGCTTCGATTGTCATTGCTT